GGGGGGGGGGGGGGGGGGGGGGGGGGGGGGGGGGGGGGGGCATGCACAGTCATAGGAACCCAGACACAACTAATGATGCTCAGGGGGCGAGGGAACTGTTAATCTGTGTTCTGTTTGATGAAATTTAATTTGTGGTTGTCGCTGTTGAGACAAGAATTAATGGTCTGGTTCAGTTGGAGTTTGATCATTTCAGTGAAGCTCTTTTTTTTGTGGAGGACAAGGGAAATGTCCCTTGTTTTAACCTCCTCTTGTTTGGTTAACCTAAGAGGATTAAGAGGGTTTAACACCATAAAACAATGGTTCCATCTGAATTATTAAATAACTTTTCACTTTTTTTTGTTTTTTAGCCTTTTTCATTCCTTTGGTTCATTTTGCGTTATTTCATCATGCTGTCAAAGCAGTATTTGCCTTGGTGTAGCTGAGACTGAGCAAAACGTACGGTGCAATGTGGATCATGCTCACCTCAGTAGGCATCTCCTGTATTAGGGCATGACCTTGCCTTGCGTTAATATGGCAGCTCATTAAGACATGTCTGGTATGATGCCCGGCCCACCCGCAAGCCCGTACTGCTACATAATAACTGATCACTGTTTCTCATAAGCTGCTGCATTCTGGGAGTACTGATAAAAACAGTTGCGATAGTTTAATAAAAAGAACACTTCTGTGGCGTTAAAATGAATTCCCTACACAAATATAATTCAATTTTCATGGCCTTGTAATTTATTGAATCATGACAAAAGCAGCCAGGAAGCTGTGAAATTGAACACAGACATTATTATGGCATATAAAACACAAGCGTGGATACAGTAAATGGCTTTAAGGTAAACAACTGAATTTTTTCACCATAATTTATTTTTATCAGTAAGGATTATCCAAGATTTTACCAACCAGGACCGCAAGTGTGTGTGGGAGATGACTTTTGGTGTAATAAAATGTTTACTACACAGTGAAGAGAAATGTTACTTAGCCGGCCAAATAATGTTTAAATACAGACTGTGGCACACAAACAAGAGCAGTTGTCAGTGAAATAATTAATATGTGTTTCTTTTCTGTCGTCCTTTTAAATATAAAAGCGTATTTAAAAAAAAACAAAAAAAACAATTGAGTTTAGCATACACATGATGATACTCTACTTGCCTTGTTTTTTTAACCATAAAATCCAAGATGGCTGAGAACCTAGTCCATGTTCATGCTGCTGGAGTTTTGAGGTGTGTATACTAGTCCTATGGTAGTGTGTGCCTATATAAGGAGTGTATGCTAATGAGGGGGCGGTGATGTTTAGCCATGGTATTAACTCTGCTACCCTTGTGTCATGTATCTACCCAGGCAGGGGTCCCAGATCCCCATTAGCACCAGTGGAGGCCTGGTCTATCCCGGGGCTATGGGCCTGGCAGCCACCACGCCCTCCCCGCAGATGACGTCGGACTGCTCCAGTGCATCGGCCAGCCCCGAACCGGCCATCCCCGTCATCCAGAGCACCTATGTCATGAAGGCGGAGCCTGGGGTCACACTTAGCGGGGAGACCATCAATGGCGAGGATGAGATGGACATGTACGAGGACTTCGAGGAGGAGCCCAAATCGGACTATAGCAGCGACAATGAGACACAGGAGGCAGTGAGCGCAAACTGAGGGGCCTCATGGCCAAGCTGGCAGGAAACCCCATGCGTGAACCTGGGAGGAGCTTGGCAGGAGAAGTGGAGCTCCCCTCTGGACACCTTCAGGAGCCGGCATGCATGTGTGGCTCCCGCGTACCGGACAGATACCTGTTTTAAGTGTTTCTTCATGTGTGAAGCAGAAGCTGTTTGTTTTGTTTTGGTTTTTTTCGTTTGTTTGTTTTATTTTATTCATGGTTTCTAATTTTTTCGTTTATCCATGGACGTTTTTACACAGTTAGGTTCTTGTGTATGAAATATTGGATGTCAGGACTTGAAAATTAACATTTAATATAAATCCATAGCTCACAGTGTTACTTCGTCATATGGAAATATCTTTTACGTTATTATTTTTGTTTTTGTTTTTTTTTGGAATGCTGTTTAATAGCTTGAGTTACTGTTTGTGATTGGGGTTATCTATCTCACTCAGGTATGCTGTTCCAGCCAACAGCTTGTGAATGTGTTTTTAAACTGAACTATTTAATGAGAAAGGAGGACGATGTGCAGATTTCATATAGAGACAAGTGCAGAACCAGCCCACGGGTGTGTCGACGAGCACAGAGGAGGAAACAGCAAGCTCTCTGATCATCGCTAGTGTAATCACGGTCAGGCTGTTAGCACAGGTCGTGTTGAGTTCTAAACTCAAGCGTGCCAAACCTTCCATGAAATATTTTATGTATCACCTATATCTTCAAATTTCAAAGTCTTAAGGGAGACACTGCAAGTCTTAGACAATCCTTAGCCCTCTTCATGATGTGGTGTAAAACACCTTTACCATACTGGTGATTTTTTTTTCTTTTTTAACCACCATAGTGATGTACTCAGGAACTTGGCGACAGAATGCCCTCTTATGTACGTGGTTTCCACCGAGTGCTTGGTGCCACTGCTGTGATGGCAGCGGGGGTGACAGTCACACAGGGAGGCCAAACAGTGAACCCTCTCCTCCCACCAAATCCATTACTTACGCCTGATGAGGCCTGATGCTATCCAGGATGGCACCCTGAATGACATCTCTTCTGTCTTTCTGTTCCGTCTTAATTTCCTGATCATCCTGATTTGGGGCCAACTCTCTTCCAATCAGACTCCGGTCTCGGTGCCGGGCCCCCTTCGTGTTAGTCTTAATGGACGCAAGTCTTATGGGGGGGGGGGCATCAGCTCTGAGTCTTAAAGGAAATGCTGGCAGTTGGGTCCCTCCAGTGGAGCTGGAGCGGCACAGAGTAGCACTACTTAGCTGGAAAAACAGTTCTCAAAGGCAGGCTGGAAGGTAACCTTTGTCATGTTTGTTTTTTTTTAGTTAATTTATCTTAAGAATTCAGAGTAAGCTGTAACTTGTGTAGGATGTTGAAACGATAGGTCTGATCTGCAGAGTAATTAATGGTGTACTAGCTGAGTAGTGATGGGCAGAGGGTTGCATGTACTTGACACTTTAAAGCAGCCACAGAAAAAGGCGCATGCAGGCCACACTGCGTCCCTCAAGGTCATGGGGTCACTTTTGCAGTTCGACGCCCCCCTACTGTAGTTTGTTGGGCTGAGTGAGGGTCAGCGGTCAGCGGTCCGCATCTGGCCTCCTCCTGCTGCAGGTTAGGTGGACACAGCTCCTGCTCCCTGCGCCCAGTGGCGCTTCCACTCCCATGTGGGGGGAGGGGGGGGGGTGCCATCTGGCCCCGCGAGGTAGGGAACATCAGCAAGGGGAGGACAAAGGGGAAATCCATCGTGCTGTTTATTGTGCTCTTTATCAAAGGGCTCCAGCGAGGGAGCTCCCGGCCGGGCCACAAGACGTTGGGCGAGCAGATGGAACCGGTACATCAAGCTGTGGGGGATTATTAAAATGACTGACGATTCAGTTTCATCTCAAATGTAGCATTATTAATGCTGAGGTCCTGCTCGTTTCCGTTTGCCCTTGAATCGGTCGACTTCATTAGTAAACAGTCGATTTCACGGAAACATTCCCGTCCCTGTACCTCTGATGGCTGAAATTCTTGCTCGCTCTCCTTCTTTCATGTGCTTTTTCCAGAGGGCCTGCTTGGTTTTTCCTATGTCTCCACTACTCTACAGTCTTGAGTTGTTTATTTCCATTTAAATGAACAATTTCCTCCTTTTTAAGGAAAATATACATTTAGCTTAATGATATTTAAAGTTGTTCAGTTTAACCCTTTCTTAGTGCTTTAATGTAGTAAAATGACATTTTTATGTTCTCTCGGACAATTCAATTTGTGCCCCCCCCCCCCCCCAACAGACATGGGTAGGGATTTTTAGGTTGTGTTTGCTAGTTATTTTTTTTGTACCTGATTTCTCGCAGTCATGACCGAAATCCTGAAAGGTATCAGAGAATAAAGGACTGTTCTTAGGATTGAAACTTGATTACACTTAAACAATATAGAAAAAAAATCAGAAAGTCATGCAGAGATAATATTTCATAAGTGTTATAAGCACTGGATATAGATGATTTTTTAAATCCGTTCTGACTAATGTGAAACTGTTGTATAGAAAGAAAAAAACAAAACAAAAAAAGAACAAAAACCAGTTTTGACTCGTGTGAGTGTGCCTCACAGTTGCTGGATTTGAGTCAGTTTTTTCCACTTTATTTGAACCATTTATTTATGCAGATGTGTGTCTTACAAATAAGGATTTTGTTTTGGCTCCAGTGTTTCTTAAACGGGAACGGTCAACTGGTGACGCAGGGCGCGTCAGAATCTGGGAGAGATGGGTGTTACTTTGACGAGACCTACATTGGAAGCTAACCTACAGTGCACTGTCTACTACATAGACATTTCATTAGATGTATTGGCCTGTGTTGGCTATCAATTTGTATGATATAACAAGACAATCAGAAAAAACTACAATAAAATTCATAATTGAATTGGAGCTCAAAACAAAGTTTTTTTTTTTTAATTTTCCAGCTCATCATAGATTTTTAAATTGTAAATATAGGAAAATAGAATTATATTTTTATTCATGAATACCTAGTGGTGTAAGTTATGTATTTGACTTTTTTCCTTTTTTTACACATCAGTGTATGTCAGTCGATGTCATTAAAAAGCTGACAAGCCACTGTACCTCATATAGATGCTGAATTAAAAAACCGTCATGAAAGATAGCAGTATTCAAGCTGAACATGGGTTTGTGAGGTACCTCACTTGTGTGTGTTTCAAGTAACCTGTTGGTTATATGTGTTGGTCTTCTGCTGAAGAAAAAAAAAGAGTAAGATTCTGGTACGTAAGAATTGTACAAATGATAAAATATTTCAAGGAACCGGCATCTGTCAGAGCAACTCAGTGCAATCCCAGGTGAAGCAGCGGAAAGCCTGTTTCACATCTTTCATGAGGACAGTGTTCAGAATCCCTTAGCATTGGCTGGTGTCCGCGTTGAGCACTTAAGTTTACACGTTTCAAACTGAGGTTTTCCCATTCTGTACTTGTCGACTTCAAGCAGCAGTTAAAAAAATTTTAATCCACCAGGGGTTGGATGATTGTGCCAAATTTTGTAAAGGGGGGTAAATACAGAAAAAAACACAAAAATATGTGACAGTTTTAAATGCAGATGCGCATGCGTGATTTATTGTTGTTCATTTTTATTCCTGGTGAGGTTAGATTAGAGGCGTGCAAATATTTATTTGTTTTTCCTTTTTTTTTGTCAGTGGTATTTAGCTTAACTTTTTATATCTATAATTTCCGGTCCTTTAGCAATGCTGTGGGCATGGCCCTTCTGTTGCTGGAGCTGTCTGGCTCTAAAATCTTCTCTAGAATAAGCAAGTTCTCTATGTAATAAAAATTACATTCAAAAAAATTAAAATCCCCTTCTCAGCAGGTACCCCGGCCTATGGCAGATTTTGTTGGAGATACTAGAGATGAAATGGTCTCTGTTGCTGCTTTGAAAAAAAAAATGTTTTAAGTCAAAAATGTAAATAGTTTATGGAAATATCTTGTACAGACCAGTGTAAAGTTTTTAATTGAACTCATAAAGGTTGCCATTACATTCGCCTTCACATTCTCCTTTAAAAGACAGCAGTTTGCTAAGGATTATTGTTTTAAACAGAAAAAGGTACTAAAATGTGTTTTGCTTGGCTTCAAAATGTAACGCAGCCAGTCATTCGTTTCCATGTGCAGTACTGACGTGAGGTAAACTCAAGGTGAAATTATTCTACATCGGTACCTACAGAGAGCTGTCTCCTCTGTCCGCAGTATTAATACATCAGCAGATGCCAAGCCAGTTTGCGACTGATTCTGGCATCACTAGGCACCTTAGCTATGTGTACAGATTCTTAGGTCTTACCCCCCCCCCCGCCCCCCACAGGGTGTTTTTTTACATATTGTTATGTAACAGCGCCTTTATATATACCTAATGTTTATGTGACATTAAGCGATGTGGAGAATCGCGCATGGGAGAGCGTGTGACTGCCTGTTTAAACTCATTTACCTCAAGGGTTTCCTCCTTTCCTAAAAACAAACACACACACAAACATACAACAAAAAAGTCTTACCATCTCCATCACTCCATCTTTTGTACTGCTGTTGACACAAATTAAAGAGACATTTTGTTTTAAAATCTGGGGTTCTGTGGTCTTGTCTTATGAATCCTTCTTTTAACTGTACATGAAATGCTACCTGCCGAAAAACCGTTTGATTAGCATTCAGTTCTGCCAATCAATCATGTAACCGCAACCTTGTCTAATTCAAATATTTCAAATTATTCCAATATGACCAACTGCGCCAGCATTTTTCCAAAGAAACACAACACCAAACCAGTATAGTGGTTATCAGCTACCAGTACACAAAATTTTTTTTTACTTTTTTTAAAGAAAAAGTCAAAAGTAAGAATAATGCTGGGTTATTCTGTTTTGTTTTAGTTTTAGCAAATTTAGTAAATACATAGAGAGACAAAATTCACTGTAGCCAAAGCTCAGTGTTTAGAGTTCATTACTGTTTGGAATAGGCCAAACCATTTAGGCAAATTACTCCGGTTGTAGATTACTCCTCCTGTAGGTTACTTCGGGTCACGCGAAAAGCTACACTGAATTAAGAACAGACTGCATCATCCAGAGTAGACCTTCTTCATATACGTCAGTGAATAAAGGCATGCTGATTTCAAATTAATAGCACCCCTGGCTTTCATCGGGGGAATGGACACAAAATATAATATTTGAAACACAGATAAACTAAATGTGTTCAGCTATTGGATATAAAATAGCAAAATTAATGATGTAAATGTGCTATTTGTTATGGTGTAAAGGAATTTAATGCTGGGCAGATTGGTGGTAAAGGGGGCAGGTGAAAAATAGATATCCGCTTGTTTTGGTCTTTTGGGTGCAGTTTGTTTCAGTTTGATGAGTGGCTTTTAAAATATCGGAGAGGGCCGCGGAAAAGACGCGCCGTGACTTATTTCCCAGACTCTGAGAGCCGAGGCTCTGGCTGTGGCGTTTCCTCTGTGGACAGAGCACAGCATTTAAATTAATTTAAATGAAGCAGGGCTAGGAAAATTACACTGTCTCCCGGTAAATTGATAAAAAATAAAAATGAATTTATGCTTATTGAGAAATAAAGTAGGCTATACAGTACAATGATCAACCTCATTATTATTATTATTATTAAATTCTTATTAGCATTATTTTATAGTTCTGTCACTTTTGTAAAAAGTCCCCCTTATCTGATTAGTTACCAGCTGTATTTTGAACATTTCCCTTCGTTTTGCTTCGATCCACCTGGTACCGTCACCCGGAAAACACCACGTTTATTCGGTGCCCGCGCCCCTGCCTTCTGTCCTGCGCCTGTACCGGCGCGGCTCGCGGCTTCCGTTAACTCACAGTTGGGTGTTGGTAAGCAGCGTTTCTAACATGCCTTTCATGGGTCACGTGATTCAGGGAAAGGGCTATTAGGCTTTTCTACAGCCGCTAAGTCCTCTAAACGTGCTAAATGCGGTTGAAGTGTTTTGGACATTTATTTCTGATATAGGCCTACTTTATTCGTGTAGGATATATATGCTCGATCAGTATTTGCCTACAGAGGTGTTAGTTGTTTTGTATTTATTGGCTGCATACAAGCATGCAAGAAAGAATAGTCACCATATATTTATCGTATATATCATACATTTTGGAGGGCGTCAATATATCTTTTCAATAATAATAATAATAATAATATCCATTAATAATAATTGATAAAAAGAAAAGTGCTATATCTTAATTATATGGGACAGCGCTCCTTTGAATAGCTTCCATTCTGTTGGACAGTACAGGATCCTAATTACTTTCTGGTTCTATAATCCTGGAAATAGCTTAACTGTATGAAGTCAGTAAAATAGCCCTAAAAAAACAAGGCAGACTTTTCCTCTCGGCCCGCTTGTTTACCACACGCAGGAGGGTCGCTTTTCTGGAAAGGGATTCCCGAACCATTCTGGAAAGCCATTTAAACGCGTCTTTTGCTATTTTCATTAATCATTTGTCGACTTTTGCCAGGATTTTCTGTAAGCCCCTTTCCCCCCAGAGCGCGTAAAAAAGCCACATTTTAACTGCGGTATATATAACAGGCGCCTATGTTAGCTCCATCCAGCTGCAAGATCCCTGTGGTGGATGGAAAATTAGACGTGTACCGCTGCACAATAAATCTTATTGTAATTCACAAAGTCCAGCATCATCAAGAAAAGGCGTGGATAAGTTTACCGAGTTTACTGCTTGTTTACACGGCACGGGAAGCCGGACGAAGGTGTGCATGTGAGCGAAGAATAACACGCGTGTCGTCGCTGTGTGCATCCGGCAAAACTGAGCTCTGTTGTTTAGACGTTTTTCTCTTTTTAACTTGGTGATGTCGTGGTGTATGAGCCGGAGCTCAGTTAAAACGAATAACGTGTTGCCGTAAGCTGGCGACGGTACGAGGTATTCTGTATAACCTACCTCGTGTAATATGACCTGAGACATGATTCCACTAAATAAGGACCGAGAGCCGATAGCTCTGCCAGAATCAAATAATGCTGGTTTTGCTGATTTGCTCATTGCACGTTAGGTTATTGTGCGATATTTATGGCAGGCAGTCAAGAAGTGATTCTGTACAGAACCGAACGGTATTTCCGAAGCGCTTCTCAGTTACTCAAATTTGTATTTTTTTGCTAGTATTAGACCTATAAATTAAATGACAACAGCCGTGGTCAACAAATGGATAGCTACACACAGATAACCTGTTGATTAAATAATATAATATTAACTTTCAATTAACAAAAAATGTAACGTCCGTTCATATTTCGACTACTTATCCGGAACAGGACAATGCAATATTGCATAAAGGTGCAAGAATGCAAACAAAAAAAAAAAAACTATGTAGGCCTACGTGTTCCAGAGCATCAAATCAATGTCCTGAAATATATGGGCAGAAAATAACAGTTCTTATTGCTTCTATTGGCACAATTTAAAGTTATTTAAGATACAAGGGAAAAATTTGTTTCTTTACTCAAAGGAAAGAGATGCATGTGCCAACGTTCAAAACATCAAAGGGTGTCATGTCAAAGTCGAGCTAATTTCTCCTGAAACCTGAGTCTCGCGATCGTGTACCGGTGGCAGCTTTGCATATTGAACATGTAGTGCGTCCGCGATTAAAGCTGGCTTCGGCCCAGGGCAATATTTTAATCCGTGGAGGTGAAGGGTTTAAGGAATCGTGCTACTTTCACAGATGGTTTAAAACAGATTAGCGCAGAGTATCAGATCTCTTAGATGTGTGGGCCCCCCCAGGCTCACCGTTCCTCTGCCAACTCTATTTGCCGGGATGAGGAAGTACCTTCAAAAAAGTCTCGCAAGGTTAAATTAAAACTTCATTCCAAGTGCTGGCCGCTTTTCTGTTGGGCCGGCTGCTTTTCTTTTCCAGCATACCTTTCTGTGCCTTGGCTACTAACGCTACACATCTGATATTTTAATTTCAGGTCCCGTGTACAGTAAATGTCCCATTGCATGGAATTGCCTACAGATTTTTAAAAGCACATTTCTTTGTATAAGTTATCTTGTTTACCATGACTTTCTTCTACCCTGAAATTAATTGCCATTTGAGTATAAAGAGCTTTTGGTTAAAAAAAAAAAAAGAGAATCTGGGATATTATGGCCACCTTTAATTCTTGAAATTTTCAATAATTGATCAATGAGTTTGGAGGATCATGAAGCCTTTTTTCTGCTTTAAAACATCCATGCTGTGCAGTGCAGGCCAAGTTGGCTGATTTCTGCATAAACATTTCTCTGAAGGTCTGGTAAGTGTTAACGGTTAATTTGCAGCTATTTTAAAAAAGTATTTTGGTGAGTGAACATATCGTTATATAAACTGTTGTGCTTAAGTTTATAAAAACAATTGTGAATACTTACAACTGTTTTCACTTTTTATCACTATATCTATATTTTATTAACTCTGCAGATATTTAAATGAAATTCTTAGGTCATATTCAAAATATTTCATTTTTAAATCAATATTGTATGCATTGGTCCAGACCTGGTCTCCAAGACACTGTATTTGACTGCGATTGGAGCCACTTAATTCATTTATCTTCCAATTGTGAGAAATAATGTCTGTGTCAATAATAAACAGTTCTGCTAAATGTGGCTCTTTCATTTCTTTCTTCATTCAGTGGTTTGAACGATGAGGCACAACTTCATTAACACATGGGGAAACGAGCACATCTACTGCCTTGAAACTTGGGGTACTTTACCGCAAAGTTACATAATCCGGCTTTTACATTTTAATGTATGTGTGTCTCCCTGTTAGTTGTGCCAAACTTGCTCCTGATTCATGTACAGAATTCTGCGGTCTGAGAACTAGTGAATAGTAGTGAGCTTACAGGATTGCAAAATAAATATTTGACTAATGCACATAGGATATTATTTTAAAAAATGTAATTTTATATATTGTCTCACTTCATTTCATTTCTGTCATGTACTTATTTGTCACAGAATTTGGGTGCGTTCTTCTTGGGATGAGCGAGTATGTAATGGACATTTAAGAACACGCTGACTATTTGGACTTCTTGAAGAATCAAACTAAGAAAATAAAAGGCTGTTGTTAAGGGTGTGTCCACCTCCCAAAACTATCACTCAAACCTCTCAAGCATGTGCCAATTACTCAGCCACACCTCTATGAATATGTAAATGCTGCCAGAATATCTCATTAATTAGTAATTCATGCATTTTTCACAAATATGAGACATATCCAGTGTGGTCAGAAGATCTTTAATCAAGCAAAAAAAGGAATAAAGAAGTAATAATACTTAAAAAAAATAAGAAAAATATTCAGCCTATAGAAGGAGGCGTGCATGTTTATCGTTACTGTGTCCTTTTCCGACTCTTGGCGTGTTTAGGCCATGATTGCTGTGTTTTTCTTGATGATGCTGCCAATTCTGGAATCTGTGTTTGAGGCCTGGATGCGAATGGACTGTTCCAGCGGGCAGCACACCTGAAGAGAACCCACTGAAACTGCGCTGTGCTGCAGAGAATCTCGCCGCTCACGCTTCTCTGAGAACAACGGCTTCCATGGCTGCATCGGTTACTGTTACCGCATTCGACATCTGGCCTTCACATTTACACTCTTCTTCACGTCCCTGCGAATCATAGACTCATTTTTTTTTCCAGCCTTATTTCGCTCCTGTGTGCTGTGATGTTTCTGTGAGATGAGGTCTTTTTAGCGAATAGTTAAAGGAATCCATAGATGTGTTTTGGGCTTCTGTCTTCTGGGCTGAGTTGTAGGAGATGTGTGTGTTTTTTGTGTAAAATCTACCGTGGGTCTGTGAAACTCTTTATCTGGTCCTAATCAGGGGTGTGCAGGGAGGGGGGAAGTGTATGGATTTTTAATTTTCCCCTTATTAAATCATAAGTGATTGAGGGGCAGCGGCATGGCAAGAGACGTCCACCGCAGAGGATAGGAGGTGTTGGCTGGGGTGCGTTCCAGGGCCATGAATTTAAGATGAAAGCAGAGTTGCAGACACGCACGGAGGGGGGCGGCCTTGCGGGGGATTAGCGTGTGCTGAGGCTACCTCCTGCACACTGCCACGTGATTTTTGCTTTTTTCTTCCTTCGGAATATATTTATGTAAATGGCTGCTTAGCTGTAAACACAAATGTACTCCATGGAGTCTGTCGGGGCGGGGGCTGTGAGAGCCACACATCTTCAAGGGATGGGGGTGAGTTAAAGGAAACAAAACAAAATAAAGGATGTAGAGAGTCAGAGGTATTCTGAGGTTAGCGGTGCGGCCGGCGGCACATGCTGCCTGCATGTCTGGGGAGAGGAGAGACACGCATTACAGCAGCTGTGCTGCACATGCGCAAGCTGCGCGGCACGCTGAAGAACTGCGCAGTTCACGAAAAAGGCGGCTGCAGAAACGAGTCACGTAGTTAGGGCCCTTCTTTGTTTTAATGCTACCCAGTAGACCTTGCCTGGAGTAGAAATTGTGCTCCCAGTTGGTGCTGAAACACACATAGAAGACGGGTGACACTATGGAGCCCTGCCCCCCCCCCCATCGGGAGGTCAGCAGACAGGCACCAACCCGCTGGGCCGCTGGGTAACCTGGCATCATTAAACCAACGGCAGAATGTTACCAGTGTGTCGCTGATATCATCCACAATGATTTGACGTCTCAAAAGTTGGACTTGGGGTGTTAAAGCAAGATTATTTAGTTTCTGACCTAGTTATTTCATTGAATTGATCCTGACTGGTACGTATTTGCACTGGGGCTCCTGTGACCCTTGATGAAGGCTTGGTATGAGGAATCGAACCTGCCCACCTGCCTGCCCACCTGTCGGCCTGCCTGCCAGTCGCCCGCCCACTGCCCAGCTAGGGTGACCAGATAATCCATGTCAGGGAGGACACTTTGAGCTACTTCAGGTTTTACTTTCAAATTGAAAGGCTCCTGTGCTTGGCTAAATAGTTCAGCTCTTCTTGTGCTTTAACTGGTTTGTTTCCTTGACTGAAAGACTCATCCAGCTGTTTCACATTAGCATTAGTGACACATGCAAGATTATAGGAGACTGACCAATCAGCACACAGCAAGAGCTCAGTGCTCAAGTGAAATCCAGGTCCATTAATTGAAATGGTAACTTACAATTCCTGTCCTGGCTCAGAGTGTCCTCCCTGACATGGATTATCTGGTCACCCTACTGCCCAGCTGACTGTCCGATGCACATTGCCCAGCCACCTACTGCCTGTTCGTCCACCACCCGCTGCCCAGCCGCCCATCCGCTGCCCGCTGCCCGCCCCCTAGCTGCCCTCAGGCCGCCAGCCGCCCTTCCACTGCTCGCTGCCCAGCCGCCCACTGCCAAGCTACCTGTCTGCAAGCCACCCACGCGCTGCCTAGCCACCTGCTGCCCACCGCCCAGCTGCCTATTTGCCATGTGCTGCCCAGTCGTCTGCCTGCCCATCCACTGCCCATCCACTGCCCAGCCGCCTACCACCCGCCCGCCAGCCACCCATCCACTGCCCAGCCGCCCGCCAGCCACCCATCCACTGCCCAGTCGCCCGCCAGCCACCCATCCACTGCCCAGGCGCCTGCCAGTCGTCCATCCACTGCCCAGCCGCCTGCCAGCCGCCAGTCCGCTGCCCATCCACCTACCAGCCGCCCGTCAGCCACCCGCCCGCCGCCCGCGTCAGAGGCGCTGTGTTTTCTCAAGCCTGTAGGTGGCCAACTGTGCGGTTTGAACATGCTTATCTGATTAGGATGTTACTGGCAAAGCGGCTCCCCACACATGCTGAGAACGTTTTTCAGTGTCTCCTCTTCTGAGCTTCCAGCCACGTTTGCCTCATGCTGCCATACTCACTGGAAACGGAACCAACTGATGACAGGCTGCGTATATCACCTCCTGGCCCAGCCCCAGAAGTGATGGCTGCTTCTAGTTAAACAATAAAACAGTCCACCATTAATAAAAGACTCTTTTAAAAATCCAAGTACTTTAATAATTTGGATTAAAAAGAAAAAAACAAGGTGATGTTAAACAGATTTGTGCATGCATACATTTAGTTTATCTGCTTGTCACTTTTTCTATTCATTTACTGTTTATCAGCATGATCTATTTGTGCTTGACAGGAACATGAAACAAGGAAATGGATATAAATAAGATCTTATGTAGTGCTTTTTATTATTAAACCAAAATGTTACATCTGCTTAAAGCTCAAGGTTTGCTCGGGGCAGTGGTGGAAGGCAGAATGAAAGCTTGGTAACTTCATCTCCTCTTTCACTGTCCACCATTGCTTCACCTGTGTCCTTCTGTCCATCTCTCTGTTATGCTCTAGTCAAAAAGATTGTGATGTTGTGTAATGTTAATTAGAGATACTTTGAAATCTCTCGCTCTGCTATGCCAACATGATGGAGCCAGTGTCTTATCAAATCATTTTCTGCTGCTGGGTGATTCACTTTTGAACCCAAACATGAACCCATCCCTTTGTATTGACGTGTGACACACTGTGCCTTTCGAGACGTCAAATGCAACAACGATAAGTTAATATTGTTAACATGCCTTCATAAACTACAATAATGTTGTTTGATAGCGAGAACAAAGTCCCTTTGTTACAGAGGGAGGTGCAATGTCAGAATATTATCAGAAGGAGGGAGGGCCGCAGATCTGAAGGAAATCTGTAAACTTTGTCATCTTGAAGGTACATGAGAAGCTGAAGGTACAGGAGACACTGTGATATCCGGGGGGAGGGGGGGAATTTGATATTAATGCAAAATAGGTAGCAGTCCTGTTTTTACTGTGCAGAGGTTTTCCAAATTAAACTTAGATAAGTAAAACTATTATAAAATGATCTCCCAAGATCTACTGTAGTGGCAGGTTACAAGTCCTGGTTCTTATAAATGCTGCCTAAATTGCATTTTCAGCTTGTTAAATCGATATTAATGCGTGTCTCTCATTACATCATGTTGATGGTCAACAACTTTCACCTTTAATGATAAAAATGTATATGAACAAAATTGCATTAATATTTCAGATACTATATATTCATATATGACGAATATGATGAATGTTGTCTGTAATGAATGGATCCTTGGGTTAGTCTAGTTTAGAAAGCTGTGGCCTCATAAATTAGAATTTTGAACAGGATAAAAGGGATCATAAAATAAGTCATTATATGTACATTGTAAAAAGAACCTTTGTAATTATCATCACATGTACACTTGCGCTTGTCCTAATTAATCTGAATCAGGTCAAATTTACCTCTCCTATGACGCCATTTACCTTGAAGTGTATTTAACATCAAAATTATGGGAAGCTGCTGCTAATTTGACTCAAGTCTTTAATATTACTGATGTTAAAAATTTAAATGAAAAAAAAAAATGTTATATAATGTATCTTATACAAATACATATTAGCTTGTCCATCTGAAACTTAATGATAATTATGTAAGTAGAGACATATGTTAGTATGGGTTATATTGTGTTTTAATGTATATTTAAGAACTGTAGTATTTGGTGTGTTTAAAATGGTTTTAAAGCCATGTGTTGCTGGATAATGGTGTAACCTTGATTTTAAAGGTATTTTTTGCAGAACAAATCAAGAGAAAACTTTAATCATTTTATGTAAAGCACCTTATATTCCGATATACTTTTCAATCTTAATGCTACTGTAGAAAATCCTTTAATGTGCCTAATGTGATATTTATTCCTGTTTGTTGGCTAATTTTTAAGAAAATTGGCTCGGTCATAATGAAATGATAAAGTCAGATCCATCGTTAAGGTTAATACAACTTGAGGAGATTAAAATGTGATTTCTTACAACTAATACAGGATTAGTTATAGAAGTATTGAATTTAAGGATGGTTGACTGATTAAATTCTCCATTTGTATTACCAAGGCTTTTTTTCACCAAGACAAAGAGTTGTTGAGTGAAGATTCAATAGGCAGCGTTTGCTTGTTTATAACCGTAACCCAGTAATCTGTTTACGAGCTGGAGGAAGTGTGTGGAGATAGGGAACACACAAACCAAGGTCTAACGGGGACGGCTGAAATGGCACCGCGGTTTAATCATCTGGTGTGGTCATATTAGGCCCTGGATGCTTAAAAGATCAAACGAGTCCATATAATACTTGTTATAGGCACAGTGAAGGGAACAATGAAACAGTAATGAAAACGAAAAAAGAAAACCTCGGATGTCAGTAAAAGGCAGTAGGAATGATTGTGTACAACACATATAAGATTATAGTTGCTCTTGAACTATGACTATGTAATTAAAGTCTGGAAACTTGAAATATATAAAAAAATTAGATTATAATGAAAGTAATCTCCTGCCAGCTGAATGGTTTCTAAGTTAAGTGTTTTTCCCATTTATAAAACCCAGCAGGAACTTCTATTATACGTTTTTACAGATTACATGTGAAGGTCCCCTGTAAATATGATGTAATTTGTGTTTCTTTTTCATTCGTGGGAAGAACAAAATCACAAATGATTGGAGTCTAAAGGCCTACTCATCTGTTGATTTTATGTCATTTTGTCAAAAAAAAAATGAACTTCTTTCTTCTGTACCTGCCAAAACAGGATATGAAAGGTGTGAGAAACTCAGTAAGTAATTTTCACCCCTGGAAGATGTGCCACTATTAAAACACAGCAGTTTTTCGGATAACAATGTTAGTATATGTTTTGACGTATTCTACTAAATCGGCCATTCCCTTTCAGTTTGAAGTAATTCAGTCTCACGTTTCCTGCATGGCACAATGGTATGGTTTAGATTATGACGGCTTCCACTGGGATGGTTCTGAATTGTTTATTCTCGGTTAGGTTCCCTGCTCACAAGCGACTCTATTGTTTAATCAAAAATCCAGACCTGGTGTCTCAGGTAACATCACAGCACATGGGTGATGAAAAGTGATTCTGTAATTTTTAAGAATTATTATGCTCAGAAACTAATTAAAGTTCAAATGTCTGTTCCTCATAGGCAATAATATCAATCTCAACTCTACAGCTGCTGAGCCATGAAGCCATTTGGGTGAGACAACCATGGGACCGTTATACTTACTGTCAGAAGCAGCCTGGCATCATCGTCACTATGACACACTGCTCTCTACCAACATCACTGCATCACCATCACTGCAACATGCTGCCCTTTGTTAACAACACTGCATCACCATCACTGTGAGACACTGTTCTCTGCTAGCAGCATTGCATGACCATCAGTGCATCATGCTGTTCTCTGCCAACAGCACTGCATGACCATCATTGATACCTGCTGTTCTCTGTTAACAGCACTGGATCACCATCATCGCTGCATGCTATTCTCTGCATACAGCACCACATCATCTTCGCTGTGACACACTGCTCTCTGCTAAAAGCACTGCATCATCTTCACTGTGACACACTGCTCTCTACTAACATCACTACATCACCATCACTGTAACATGCTGCTCTTTGTTAACAGCACTGCATCACCATCACTGCAACATGCTGTTCTTTGCTAACAGCACTGCATCACCATCACTGTCACATGCTGTTCTCTGCTAACAGCACTGCATCACCATCACTGCAACATGCTGTTCTCTGCTAACAGCAGGGTTGCCATCTCTCACGCATCTGGCATGACACTCACACTTTCTGATTCTCACACAAAAAATCTTATGCCAAAGCTATATTATTACATTATAAACATACAATTAGCTACATCAGAAGCTTTGGGATAGTTTACAAACCCTACAGACTATTTGTTAGGTAATAAAACTGTTACATACATGTAAAATGAAACTTCCAAAGACTTTCAGGAGGTTCAAATACACTTACATTTCCTACATTGTACATGCTGTTGAAAGCCTTGCTTATGCAAAGAAATTAAAGATGTCTATTTCAAGACATTTTCACAGTAGAGTAGGATTTTGCACAGTCATTAAGATGTACGTTCTAGTTTTTTAACGTAACATCTAAAAAAATATGTGATAGAAATGAAGGCACAATTAAAAATCTGTTATTGCAATCAAATATCAGCACACATTTCTGTTAATATATGTTTATTTATCCTTCATTGAAGTTGCCAAAAAACATTTTCCCTCTTAAAGATCAAATAATGTCTACAGTTACTGCTATGAATAGTGCAGGGCAGTTTTCATGAAAATGCAAATTATGATTCCCTTTTTCCATTTAGCTGTTTTTTTTTATATTTTAGCTTTATTATTGCGATTTTACGCTCAGTTAGGAAATAATTAAAATCTTTTTGACTGCTAAGAATGTCACTTTGCCAAATTAGCTTTATCTTGATTTTCATTGTGGCTAAAAACACATCTGAATAACTTAACCAAGATGTTAAAAAATCATACTGGAGCTAAAATTTATTATGTGTTTTCCTGAGGTTTTTAAACCACAGTGAAGAATGTTTTGTTGATGTTAATATTTAGTCTGTGTGTACATATACATATATACATATACACACTGATCTGCCATAACATTAAAACCACCGGCCTAATATTGTGTAGGTCTCCCTCGCACTGTCAAAACAGCTCTGACCTGTCGAGGCCTGGACTCCACAAGACCTCTGAAGGTGTCCTGTGGTATCAGGCACCAAGACGTTAGCAGCAGATCCTTTAAGTCCTGTAAGATGCTAGCTGGGTGGCATGGTGGTGCAATGGTTAGTACTCTTGCCTCACACCTGTCGGACCAGGGTTTGACTCTCCAGGGTTCAGTGTGTGGAGTTTGCATGTTCTGCCCATCATGGGGTTTCCTCCAGGTACTCTGAAACCCCACCTGCATAACCTACGACCCTGAATAGTACAAGCAGTTACAGAAAATGGGTCTCCATAGACCTGACTTATTTGTCCAGTACATCCCACTGATGGTTGATCAGTTTGACACTTGGGGAAATTGGGCAATTTGTAGGCCATATCAACACCAAACAATTTTTTAATAATTTTTGCAGTGTGGCAGGGTGCATCATGCGGTAGGTGGTTCTTGTCAAACTAACATCCACATGAATGCCAGAACCCAAAGTTTCCCGGCAGTACATTGTCCAGAGCATCACACTGCCTCTGCTGGCTTGCCTTCTTCCCATAGTGCATCCTGATGTCGTCTTTTCCCCACACACATGATGTAACAGAAAACATGACTCATCAGACCAGGCCACCTTCTTTCATTGCTCCATGGTCCAGTTCTGATGCTCACATGCCCATTGCAGGCACTTCCGGTGGTGGAGCTGAGTCAGCATGGGCAATCTGACTGGTCTGCAGCTGCACAGCCCAATACGCAGCAAGTCGCAATGTGCTGTGTGTTCTGACATCTTTCTATCACAGCCAGCATTAAAATTTTTCAGCAATTTGTGCTACAGTAGCTCTCCTAAGGGATTGGAGCAGATAGGATAGCTTTGCTCCCTTCGCTGGTTCATCGGTTATCCTTCCTTGGACCACTTTCAGTAGCTACTATCCACTGCATACTAGTAACACCCAACAAGACCTGCCGATTTAGAGATACTCTGGCCCAGTCGTTTAACCATCACAATTTGACCCTTGTCAAAGTCATTCAGATCCTTACACTTGCCCATTTTTCCTGCTTCCAACGCATCAACTGCAACAACTGATTGTTCACTTGCCTAACAATGTCAAGGGTGCCATTGTAACAAGATGATTAATGTGATTCACTTCACCTGTCAGTGGTTTTAATATCATGGGTGATCGGCATGTACATGTATGTATAAATTCTTTATGCTTAATATTATATACAAAACTGTGTTACAAATGAATTATCAAGCATATGATTCAAAATCAGTGCTGTTAACAGATTCAAACCTAACACTTTGATATTCCCATTGGTGTATTTCTGTTCCTGTTCTTGTTCTGCATCTCAAGGCAGTTCCATGGCCATGTACTCCCCCTTCTTTTGGAAGTAGTAATCAAATCTGGCCACAGCATACCTGGAAAGACAACACACAGTGTTAGCAGGCACCTGAGATGCAGGATCCACAGGAACACAGGAGTTCTGTGAAGCATCTAGCGGGGCAGTGATCTAACCCAGATCTTACTCCAGCTCCAAAAGCTTTTACGTTCGCAATCCGTACTTCAGCATATTGGACGTTCCATGCATGTTTACTGCTATGTCTATATTACTAGCTGATCATTATCCCTGGTTTGGTTCATTTTAAAATCCAAAGGTAAGTGTGAAGATGAGAACATACCCGTCTTATAAAGGTTACTGAGATGCAGTGGAGGGAGGACTTAACTGTGCAATTCACCAGGAAACCAGGGACTGAATTTGCTATTTGTCACATTTGTTTTTTTTCCATCCACAGAGATGAACAAAAGTGCAACACCTGAGTTATTTGAAATTCAGCAGCACGCCATTGATCAGCCATGAACCAGAGCCTGTCATGTCACGTCAAGTGAGGTAAGAGCTGTGTGGGCTGAATAGGTGGGGAGGGACTTTTAAGCTCCGGAAGGAGTGCCTTTAAATATTTTCTTTGCCTGTGAACTCAGCATAAGACTTTGATTTGAAAAGTTATTCATTAACATTTATGCGGGATGTTACCATGACACTCGCTTTCAGTGGGGGGTTAAAGCATTATTCATCTATTACGCATTATTAAGAGCTGGTTTAAGTTGTGTCGTGTGAAAGCAGTTCCGCTTAGACACAAAAAGGAGATGATTATGTTACAATTTTTAATTCACCCGGTTTCCTTTAAAGGGAAGCATCTTGGGAGTGGGGGGGGGGGGG